GCCGGGCCGGGCTGAGGGAGCGGGGCTGGGCTGGGGGAGCCGGGGAGAGCTCAGGGAGCCGAGCCGGGCTCAGGGAGCCGAGCCGGGCTGAGGGAGCCGAGCCGAGCCGGGCCGGGCCGGGCTGAGGGAGCCGGGGAGAGCTCAGGGAGCCGGGGGAGCCGAGCCGCGCCGAGCCGGGCCGGGCTGAGGGAGCGGGGCCGGGCTGAGGGAGCCGGGGAGAGCTCAGGGATCCGGGCCGGGCTGAGGGGGCCGAGCCGAGCCGGGCCGGGCCGGGCTGAGGGAGCGGGGCCGAGGCGCCGCTTCCGGGAATCGACGTCACCGCGACGGCCACGTGATCTCCGCCGCCAATCAGCGGGAGGCCGCGCGGCACCGCCCCCCGGTGAAAGGTCGCGTCAGCACCGCGCGGGATTTGCATAAAGGGGCGTGGCTAAAGGTCGCTGTACGGCCGTGTTTGCATAAAGGGGCGTGGCTAAAGGTCGCTGTACGGCCGTGTTTGCATAAAGGGGCGTGGCTAAAGGTCGCTGTACGGCCGTGTTTGCATAAAGGGGCGTGGCTAAAGTTCGCGGTATCGCTGTGTTTGCATAAAGGGGCGTGGCTAAAGTTCGCGGTATCGCTGTGTTTGCATAAAGGGGCGTGGCTAAAGGTCGCTGTACGGCCGTGTTTGCATAAAGGGGCGTGGCTATCGCGCATGTGGCTGAGCCGCTTCTTAATCTGCATAAAGGGGCGTGGTTAACGCTCACTAGACAGACTGTATTTGCATAAAGGGGCGTGGTTAAAGCGCATGTTATACGCTGTATTTGCATAAAGGGGCGTGGTTAACGCTCACTGGGCATGCGGTATTTGCATAAAGGGGCGTGGTTAAAGTTCACGGTGCGGCTCTGGTTTTGCATAAGGGGCGTGGTTATGGCTCCACCGCTTCTAAATCTGCATAAAGGGGCGTGGCTAAAGCTCATGTTATATGCTGTATTTGCATAAAGGGGCGTGGTTAAAGCGCATGTTATACGCTGTATTTGCATAAAGGGGCGTGGTTACAGCTCACTGCGTCAGCGCTATTTGCATAAAGGGGTGTGTTTATAGTGCATGACACCACCTTATTTGCATAAAGGGGCGTGGCTCTGACGCTCGGCACCGCTTTTGTATTTGCATAGAGGCGTTTCCTCTCGCATTTGCATAACGGGGCGTGGCCGTTCTTGCAAGCCCCGCCCCCTCACCCCAATTCCCTCCCTGGGCCCCCCCAGGACCGAGCCGAGGGTTTGGGGACCCCCAGGGGGGCACCCAGAGGGGGGGGTCAGGGATTTGGGGTCTGACACAGATTTGGGGTCTCTCACCCAGATTTTGGGGTCTCTCACCCAGATTTGGGGTCTGACACAGATTTGGGGGGGTCACACCCAGATTTGGGGGTCCCTCCCACATCTGGGGAGGGGTCTTACCCAGTTTGGGGGTCTCACTTCCAGATTTTGGGGGGAATCAGAGATTTGGGGTCTCACACGCAGATTTGGGGTCTCACACAGGTTTTCGGGGTCTCACACGCAGATTTGGGGTCTCACCCAGATTTTGGGGTCACACACCCAGATTAGGGGTTTCACACACAGATTTTGGGGGGGGTCAGAGATTTGGGGTCACAGCCACATTTGGGGGTCTCACACACAGATTTGGGGTCTTACCCCGATTTGGGGTCTCACATCTCCTTTTTTTGTCTCACACACAGATTTTGGGGTCTCACACCCAAATTTTGGGGTCTCACACAGGTTTTTGGGGTCTCACACCCAGATTTGGGGTCTCAGATTTGGGGTCTCACATTTAGGGTCTCACACCCAGATTTGGGGTCTCACACCCAGATTTGGGGTCTCACACCCACATTTGGGGTCTCAGATCTGAGGTCTCACACAGATTTTGGGGTCTCACACCCAGATTTTGGGGTCCCACACAGATTTTGGGGTCTCACACCCAGATTTGGGGTCTCTCACCCAGATTTGGGGTCCCACACAGATTTTGGGGTCCCACACAGATTTTGGGGTCTCACACAGATTTGGGGGTCTCACACCCACATTTGGGGTCTCACACAGATTTTGGGGTCTCACACAGAGGTTTTCGGGGTCTCACACCCAGATTTGGGGGTCCCACACAGATTTGGGGTCTCACACCCAGATTTGGGGTCTCAGATTTGGGGTCTCACACGGTTTTATTGCCCATGCCCCGTCCTGGGGGTGATTTCGGGGGGGTCTCACCTGACCCCCGCCCCCCCCCCGCCCCCCACATCGACCCCAAAATCAGCCCAAAATCCACCCAAAATCACCCCCCAAAATACCCCAAAATCAGCCCTAAATCCACCCAAAATCACTCAAAAATCCACCCACAATTTGGGCAGCAATTCACCCCAAAATCGCTGAAATTCACCACAAATCACCCCAAAATCTGCCCAAATCACCCCAAAACGCACACAAAAATCCACCCCAAAATCAGCCCCAAATCACCCAAAACCACCCCAAGAATGGTGGAAATGGGGGGATCACCCTAAAATCACCCCCAAAGTGGGGGGGTCACCCCAAAATCCCAATCCCGGGAGGTGTGGGGAGAGTTTGGGGGGTCAGGAGGGGTTTTTGGGGGGTCAGGAGAGATTTGAGGTTTTTGGGGTGCAGGTGGCTTTTTGGGCAGGGAATTTTTGGGGGTCCCAGGTGGTTTTTGGGGTGTCCCAGGTGATTTTTGGGGTGTCTGGGTGATTTTTTGGGGGTCCCAGGTGCTTTTTAGGGTGTCCCAGGTGGTTCTTGGGGTGTCCCAAGTGGATTTTGGGGTGTCCCAGGTGATATTTTGGGTTGTCTGGGTGGGTTTTTGGGGTGTCTGGGTGATTTTGGGGGGGTCCCGCTCCGAGGTTTTTTGGGGGGTCCTGGGTGGTTTTTGGGGTGTCCCAGGGGTTTTTGGGGGTGTCCCAGGTGATTTTTGGGGTTCCCAGGTGGTTCTTGGGGTGTCCCAAGTGGATTTTGGGGTGTCCCAGGTGATTTTGGGGTGGGTTTTTAGGGTGTCTGGATGGGTTTTGGGGGTCCCAGCTGGATTTTCAGGTGTCTGGGTGGGTTTTTGGGGTGTCCCAGGTGATTTTTGGGGTTCCCAGGTGATTTTTGGGTGGTCCCAGGTGGATTTTGGGGATCCCAGGTGATATTTTGGGGGGTCCCAGGTGTTTTGGGGGGATCTGGGTGACTTCTTGGGGTTCCCAGGTGTTTTTGGGGGTGTCCCAGGTGATTTTTGGGGTGTCCCAGGTTGGTTTTGGGGTGTCCCAGGTGGTATTTTGGGGTTCCCAGGTGGGTTTTTTGGGGTATCTGGGGGGTTTTGGGGGGTCCCAGGTAGATTTTGGGGTATCTGGGTGGGTTTTTGGGGTCGCAGGTGATATTTTGGGGTGTCCCAGGTGACTTTGGTGTCCCAGGTGGTTTTGGGTGGATTTTTGGGGTGTCCAAGGTGATTTTTGGGGTGTCCCAGGTGATTTTTGGGGTGTCCCAAGTGATATTTTGGGATTCCCATGTGGATTTTGGGGTGCCCCAGGTCGATTTTGGGTGGCTTTTGGGGTCCCAGATGTTTTTGGGGGATTTTGGGGTCCCAGCTGTTTTTGGGGTGGGTTTTTGGTGTCCCAGGTGATTTTTGGGTGGGTTTTTGGGGTGTCTGGGGGGGTTTTGGGGTGCCTGGGGGAGGTTTGGGTGGGTTTTGGGTTTCCCATGTGGATTTTGGGGTGTCCCAGCTGTTTTGGGGTGGATTTGGGGGTTCCCAGGTGATTTTTGGGGTTCCCAGGAGGTTTTGAGTGTGTTTTTGGGGAGTCTGGGTGAGGTTTTGGGGTTCCCAGGTGATTTTTGGGGTTCCCAGGAGGTTTTGAGTGTGTTTTTGGGGAGTCTGGGTGAGGTTTTGGGGTTCCCAGGTGATTTTTGGGTGGGTTTTTGGGGGGTCTGGGGGGGTTTTGGGGTGCCTGGGGGAGGTTTAGGTGGGTTTTTGGGTTTCCCATGTGGATTTTGGGGTGTCCCAGGTGTTTTGGGGTGGATTTTGGGGTTCCCAGGTGATTTCTGGGGTTCCCAGGTGTTTTTGGGGTGCGCTTTTGGGGGTGGCTGGGGGGTTTTGGGGTCCCTCACGTATTTGGCAAAGAAGGATTTCTGCTCCTGGGGGTTCCGGGCGCGCTGGGCCTGCTCCTGCTCCAGGTGCCGGATGAAGGCGGCGGTCTCGGGGCTGGGGACAGGGACAGGGGACACTGGGGACACTGGGGACATTGGGGACATTGGGGACATGGGGGACAATGGGGACACGGGGACACTGGGGGCATTGGGACATTGGGGACACTGGGACACTGGGGACATTGGGGACACTGGGGACACTGGGGCACTGGGGACATTACACTGGGGACACTGGGGCACTGGGGACATTGGAGACACTGGGGACATTGGGGACACTGGGGAGGGGACACAGGGGACCACACCACCCCAGAACTTCCCCCCCTGCCCCCATGGGCGTCCCCCAAAAGCTGAACCAGCCCCGGAATTGCCCCCAGGGTCCCCACAGTGTCCCCAGCCTGTCCCCCACTGTCCCCACAGTGTCCCCAGGTCCCTGTCACTCACGTGGCAGCAGAGCCACCAAGGGGTTGGGGACACCCAGGTCAGTGTCCCCCGTGTCCCTGTGTCCCCATGTCCCCCTGTGTCCCCCTTATCCCCCCATGTCGCCATATCCCCGTGTCATCCCTGTCCCCCCACGTCCCCTGTCTCCATGTCCTCCCATGTCACCTCCCTCCCCTTGTCCCCCACACGTCCCCCTGTCCCCACATCCCCCCCGTCGCGTCCCTCACGTGGCGGCGGGCAGGGGCTGTCTCAGTGCCACCGAGGTGTTGAAGAGCTCCAGGTGCCCGTCCTCCACCCAGGTGCCCCGGCAGGTGCCCGGCGCTGCCACCACGCCCAGGGCCACCACGTGCCCGGCCACGTCCAGGTGCAGGGACAGCTGGTCCGACAGGTGCGACTCCAGCAGGGCACACTGGGAACACGTGAGGGGACGTAAAGGGACACGGGGACACGTGAGGGGACACGGGGACACGTGAGGGGACACGGGGACACGTGAGGGGACACGGGGACACGTGAGGGGACACGGGGACACGTGAGGGGACACGGGGACACGTGAGGGGACACGGGGACACGTGAGGGGACACGGGGACACGTGAGGGGACACGGGGACACGTGAGGGGACACGGGGACACGTGAGGGGACACGGGGACACGTGAGGGGACACGGGGACACGTGAGGGGACACGGGGACACGTGAGGGGACACGGGGACACGTGAGGGGACACGGGGACACGTGAGGGGACACGGGGACACGTGAGGGGACACGGGGACACGTGAGGGGACACGGGGACACGTGAGGGGACACGGGGACACGTGAGGGGACACGGGGACACGTGAGGGGACACGGGGACACGTGAGGGGACACGGGGACACGTGAGGGGACACGGGGACACGTGAGGGGACACGGGGACACGTGAGGGGACACGGGGACACGTGAGGGGACACGGGGACACGTGAGGGGACACGGGGACACGTGAGGGGACACGGGGACACGTGAGGGGACACGGGGACACGTGAGGGGACACGGGGACACGTGAGGGGACACGGGGACACGTGAGGGGACACGGGGACACGTGAGGGGACACGGGGACACGTGAGGGGACACGGGGACACGTGAGGGGACACGGGGACACGTGAGGGGACACGGGGACACGTGAGGGGACACGGGGACACGTGAGGGGACACGGGGACACGTGAGGGGACACGGGGACACGTGAGGGGACACGGGGACACGTGAGGGGACACGGGGACATGTGAGGGGAGAGGGGGACACGGGGACATGGGGGAACATGGGGACACAGGGACACGGGGACATGGCGACATGGGGGGACATGAGGGGACACGGGGACACAGGGACATGAGGACATGGGGGGACATAAAGGGACACAGGGACATGGGGACATGTGAGGGGACATGGGGACATGGGGACATGTGAGGGGACAGGGACACAGGGACACGAGGGGACACGGGGACATGTGAGGGGACAGGGACACAGGGACGTGAGGGGACACGGGGACATGGGGACATGTGAGGGGACACGGGGCCATGGGGACATCGAGGAACATGAAGGAACACAGGGACACGAGGGGACACGGGGACATGGGGACATGTGAGGGGACACAAGAACAGGGGGACATGAGGGGACATGGGGACACAGGGACATGGGGACATGAGGGGACACAGGCACAGCGACACAGGATGGGACACGGGGACACGTGAGGGGCCAGGGGGACACGGTGATGGTGACATGGGGACATGGGGACACGGTGACGGTGGCACAAGGAGACGTGAGGGGACAGCGGGATAGAGGGGACAGGGACATGGGGACATGGGTGACAGTGACACAGGGGACACAAGGACATGGGGTGATGGTGGCACAGGGGGACATGAGGGGACAGGGGCACAGGGTGAGAGCACTGAGGGGACAGTGGGGGACGAGGAGGGTGACAGGGCATGGGGGGACACGGGGGGACACAGGGGGGACACGGGGAGGGTGACAGGGTGTGGGGGGATGCAGGGAGGACAAGGGGCAGGAGGACCCCAGGATGTCCCAGGTGTCCCCAGGGTGTCTCAGAGATGTCCCCAGGGTGTCCCCAGGGTGTTCCCAGGTGTCCCCAGGGTGTCCCAGGTGTCCCCAGGTGTCCCCAGGGTGTCTCAGAGGTGTCCCCAGGGTGTCCCAGGTGTCCCCAGGTGTCCCCAGGGTGTCTCAGAGGTGTCCCCAGGGTGTCCCAGGTGTCCCCAGGTGTCCCCAGGGTGTCTCAGAGGTGTCCCCAGGGTGTCCCAGGTGTCCCCAGGTGTCCCCAGGGTGTCCCAGGTGTCCCCAGGTGTCCCCAGGGTGTCTCAGAGGTGTCCCCAGGGTGTCCCAGGTGTCCCCAGGTGTCCCCAGGGTGTCCCAGGTGTCCCCGTCACTCACCGCCCTCACGAAGGAGGTGACAAACTCGGTGTCCCCCTCCTCACCAGGGCCCAGGGGCCTGCGGGGGACCCGCACCCGGTACAGCCCGTCCCGTGCTGCCACCTCCTGTGGGGACAGTGCCACCTCAGTGTCACCCAGTGCCACCTCAGTGTCACCACGGTGTCACTGCTGTGTCACCCAGTGTCACCCTGAACCCTCCACCCCCCCTGACCCGCACCCGGTACAGCCCGTCCCGCGCCGCCACCTCCTGTGGGACACCTCATTGTCACCTCAGTGTCACCCAGTGTCACCCAGCGTCCCCCTGTTGTCACCGTGGTGTCACCCCCATGTCCCCCTGTGTCCCCGTGTCCCCCCAGTGCCCCACTCTGTTCCTGCCCTGTCCCCTGCTGTCCCCTTTGTGTCCCCCCGTGTCCCCCTTCCATCCCCGCACTGTTCCCGCTGTGTCCCCCCGGGTCCCTGGTGTTGTCCCCTCCGTCCCCATGTCACCTCCATGTCCCCCTGTCCCCCTGTGTCCCCCATCCCCGTGTCCCTCACCCTCAGCCGCGCTCTCTCCTCCTCCCCATGTCCCCGTGTCCCCGTGTCCTTGTCCCCATGTCCCTGTCCCCCTGTCCCTGTCCCTGTCCCTGTCCCCGTGTCCCTGTCCCCATGTCCCTGCCCCCGTGTCCCTCACCCTGAGCCGCGCTCTCTCCTCCTCCCCCTGTCCCTGTCCCCCTGTCCCTGTCCCTGTCCCTGTCCCCCTGTCCCCGTGTCCCTCACCCTCAGCCGCGCTCTCTCCTCCTCCCCGTGTCCCTGTCCCCGTGTCCCTGTCCCTGTCCCCCTGTCCCCGTGTCCCTCACCCTCAGCCGCGCTCTCTCCTCCTCCCCGTGTCCCTGTCCCCGTGTCCCTGTCCCCATGTCCCTGTGTCCCCCTGTCCCCGTGTCCCTGTCCCCGTGTCCCTCACCCTCAGCCGCGCTCTCTCCTCCTCCTCGTGTCCCTGTCCCCGTGTCCCTGTCCCTGTCCCCATGTCCCCGTGTCCCTGTCCCCCTGTCCCTGTCCCTGTCCCCCTGTCCCTGTCCCCGTGTCCCCTGTCCCCGTGCCACCTCTTGTGCTGGTCCAGCAGGTCCTTGTCTGTCACCAGCACCTTCAGCTCCTTCAGGTCCTGCAGGAAGGACTTGGGCAGGTCCCCGTCGGGCTCGGCCGCCTCGGGCGCTGCGGGACAGGGGCAGGGGCAGGGGTCAAGGGTCACGGGGACAGCGGGGTCACAGGGTTGTGCCGACAGCGGGGTCACGGGGCCACGTGGTGGTTTTGTGGGGGCTTTGGGGGTTTTTGGGGTGGATTTTTGGGATTTTTGGGTTCTTGGCGCACCCAGGGCCCCCTGGCTCCAGTGGGCCATCATGCTCTGGGGTTTTCTCGGTGTCACTGTCGCTGTCACCAGCCCAGTTCGCGGGGCGGGCTCTGTCCCCGCCCGCCCGGCCCTTTAAAGCCGCTGTCACCCGCGGGGACACGGCCCAGAGGACAAGGGACACGGTCCCGGAGGTGGCACGTCCGCAGGTGCCACCGGGGACAGGGTCAAGTTCGGGGACAATTCTGCTGGCACCCGTGCCACCTGTGCCACCTGTGCCACCCTCTCTGCAGGCCCAGCCATGTCACACACGGCCAGAGCTGCCCTCAGGTGAGTGGGGACATCGCGGGGACATCGCAGGGACAGAATGTCCCCATGTCTGGGAGTGCCACCTCCCCTCCTCCCCGGTGTCACTGCCCTGACCCCTCTGTCCCCGCAGGGGGACACCCCGGGGACACCGCCAGGGGGTCACGTCGGGGAACGGGGACACGGCCGAGAACGTCATCGACCCCGACATGGTGGCCTTGTTCGAGGACTTCCTGGGGACAGGTGGGTGCAGGTGTCCCCGTGTCCCTGTCCCCATGTCCCCGTGTCCCTGTCCCCCTGTCCCTGTCCCTGTCCCCCTGTCCCTGTCCCCGTGTCCCCGTGTCCCTGTCCCCATGTCCCCGTGTCCCCGTATCCCTGTCCCCGTGTCTCCATGTCCCTGTCCCCGTGTCCCTCACCCTCAGCCGCGCTCTCTCCTCCTCCCCCAGCGGTTTCTGGCTCAGCGCCAGCGCGGGCTCGGGGCCCCAGCTCAGGGACAGAGAGCCCCGGCGGCGGAACCGCGGCGCGTCATCTGTGGGACGGGGACAGGGATGGGGACAGAGGGGACAGGGGACAGGGACAGGGACAGGGATGGGACAGGGATGGGACAGGGATGGGACAGGGATGGGGACGGGGACAGGGACAGGGATGGGGACAGGGACAGGGATGGGGACAGGGACACAGAGACAGGGATAGGGACAGGAACGGGGACAGGGACAGAGTGGGGAGAGGGACGGGGCAGAGACAGGGGACAGGGACATGGAGACAGCAACAGGGACGGGGACAGGGACAGGGACAGGGACAGGGACAGGGACATGGAATGGGGACAGGGACACAGGGACAGGGACATGCGATAGGGGCAGAGACATGGGATAGGGACACGGTGACAACAACAGGGATGGGAACAGGGACAGGTTGGGGACAGGGACAGAGACAGGGGATAGGGATGGGGAAAGGGACATGAGATAGGGAGAGAGACAGGTGACAGGTA